CTCAATACAAAGGGAGAGAAGGGGGTGATGTTGAAATCTGCCCCGTTTTCACCCTTCCTTTGGCAGCAGCGGGTTTGATCTCTGATCCATAACCATACTGTACAAGCTCACATGCTATGGCTTGCACATTCCCACAGACCTTGTCTCTCCCATCAGTCCAGCTGCCTAAAACCAAGGAGATAGATATCATAAACCATGTTATAAGGGCATAAAGCAACTCTGGAATCAGCTTTATTTTGAGGCTTTCCCCTCAGTCTCCCAGCGTGGATAGATTCCCCCATGATGGATCAAGAGAGATCCAACCTGGTCCTTTCCTCCTCGTCCTCGCCCTGCCCTCGCCGTCTCCGAACGGCCAGTGGTGGGCCCCAGCAGCTGCTCCACGTGGGTTTATCCTGAGCTGCGACACACTGCCCTCTCTTTGCAGCTGCCCAAAACGGCGGAGCACGTTGTGTCTGCGAGACGTTTAGCTTTCCGACCTTCCCTGTCCTAAGTGGATGCCTGTAACAGACCCTGCCTGCTCAGAAGAACGCAATAAAACCTAAAAAACACATTGGGGAGAGATCGGTTTATCTGCTGGACACTTAGCATTGCTCTTGCTAAGGCATTTTCCAAAAGGCCGCTGGGGTTTAGAGGACTTCTGTTTGGGCTTATAGTTGGTAGAACACTTATGGACATAAAAGACCTTAAAGATATTTCATTCTCCATCAGTGCCTCTGTGGTGTATATCCTGGGAACTCAGTGCTGGTGGCTAAAGAGGAAGTACTGCTCTCCTATTAAGAACTTTCCTTCTGACCCTTTCGGCCTCTGCCAGCTCCTCCTGCCATAGCCTGTGGCCATGAGACACATCCATTTCTCACGAGCCTCTAATCAGAGTTTTGTTCTCAACTGTCAGTTTGCTGTGGGAGGGTGTTGTGTAGGCAGGCAGCAGATTTTGTTTCCAAGCGGAAGCTGACACTTCTCTTTCTATTGTTTAGTCTCATATCTTCGTTTTTCTTTTTTTTTTCCTTTTTTTTTTACAGCGAGGAAAGCTTTCGAAGAGGCAGGAAACATCTTAAGTGGCCATGTAACGATGGGGGTGTATTTTGAAGATGATGCCCTGGCTTTGTAAGTAGTTCCTCTTTTTCTTTGGGGAGAACTCTTTTGGGAAAAGGCTTTAGTGAAAGCCAACGCCTGCAGCAAGCGTCACTGGCCATGCTGGGTGTTCAGCAGCAACTCCAAGCAGCTACGAGGGACTCAGTCCTGTAGGAAGGTTGGTCGGGACTCAGCCAAGGGGAGATGTAACCCTGGCTCCGCCACTGTCCATGGGCAACTCATTTACCCCTGTTGCAGTTCAAAATCCCTCTGGGTATTTTCAGTCCTCCAGCCTTGCCCAGAGTTCTTCACACAAGCAGGACCAAACTTTTATGGGGAATAAAAATAGCCTGGAAAAATGATGCCCTCTAACTAGGGCGTGAGGGAAGAAACTCCTGCCCTTCTCTTTCCATCCGGATAAGTGATGAATTGTTACTGATCTCTGGTGAGACCCCACCTCAAATCCTGCGTCCAGTTCTGGTGTCCCCACCGTAAGAGGGACATGGAGCTGTTGGAGCGTGTTCAGAGGAGGCCACAAAGCTGACCCAGGGGCTGGAGCAGCTCTGCTCCGAGGACAGGCTGCGGGAGCTGGGAGTGTTCAGCTGGAGAAGAGAAGACTCCGGGGGGACCTTATCCCTGCCTGCAGTGCCTGAAGGGACCTACAGAAAGACTGGGGAGGGACTTCTTACAAGAGTGTCCACTGATAGGACAAGGGGAAATGGGTTTAAATTGAAGGAGAATGTGTTTAGACTGGATCTCAGGAAAAAATTCTTCAATACAAGGGAGGCAAGACTCTGGCATAAATTGCCCAGAGAAGTTGTGGCTGCCCCCTCCCTGGAGGTGTTCGAGGACAGGTTGGATGAGGCCTTGAGTAGCCTGATCTAGTTGAGAGGCATCCCTGCCCATGACAGGGAGGTTGGACTAGATGATCTCTAAGGTCCCTTCCAGCCTAGGCCAGTCTATGATTCTCTCTGTGGTCCCGTCACCTGATCTTATCGCGGATCTTTTTTCCTTGGAAGATGTGCCTACCCGTTTCTCTGCCCTTGGCAAGAATGAGACGTTACCACCATCTCCAGATGGAGATTTGGAGGGGTGCATCCTCCTGGAGGAAGAGCGCTGGAAATGTGTGCAGCCTTCTTCCCGCACACGTGGCAAAGGCAAAGTCAAGGCTTTCTTGGTCCATTCGGGATTGAATAAGAGCATCAAATGGAGCCCTAACTTTAAGCCAATTTGGATGTGAGCATGTATCACTTAACTGTGTCATTAGGACTCACTCCAGCAAGGGGCGAAGTGCTTCAGGTTAGACTGTTAAAGATGCTTCAGTGCCTATAAATGCAGCTAGTTCCAGGGGGAACCTTCAGCTTGTCCTGGCATCTCATTTCCATCTGGAATTAGCTATCAAGGTGGACTTAAAAATCCCAGAAGGTCCTTGGCTTGTTTGCGAGGTGTGAGTTTAACAGCCAATAATGCAACACTGCATTATTTTCATTAGTTTCTTACGGATGCGACGCATCTCTAGTGTGTCTGATGAGACGTGGGCACTTTGGTGGTACACGGAGAGAACGGGAATGCAGATAGCTTGGTAGTACATCTTTATTAACCAAACTGTGCACAAAGCACCAGGTGGGGTCGGGTCTCAGAAGTGAGGCAGTGCCAGGCTTGCGGGTGATGGCGGGTACGGAAGTCACAACCAGCAGCCTCAGCGTGAAAAGCCTGACATGGCTCTGCAAGCTAAAAGACATTTCTCCTCTAAGGATCTCAGCTGATAGAAGAAAGGGGAAAAAAAAAGCAAAGGAGGCAGGGAGAGCTTGGAAAACAAGATACCAGTAGAAAAAAGCCTGTGTTCTCTCAGGAGTGACACAAGTGAGAGCACATCTCCATCCTTCTGCCCCAGCTGCTGTCTGCAGCGCGCTCCTGTTTCGCTGGAATAGTTAATACAGTTTATATTGATACTCGTTCTGCCAAGTTTGGATTTTGGCTGTGATTTGTGGGTGAAGCTACTGTAGCTGGTCGTCTTCTCAACTGTAAGCAGAAAGTAAACACTTACAGGAATTCCTTATGCAAGAGCCAGGCTCACTTCCCTTATTCAGAAAAGAAAAGCTATTCTTCTGCTAAACGCTCAAGGAGGAAACCTTTGTGGCTCCCAGGTCGCAGAAAGCTGAGTCCCCTCTTCCCGGAGAAAAAGGTACACAAAATACACAAAGAATGTCGTTAGCAAAACTGTTTGCTCAGCAAGCACCTGGCTGGTAACTAATAAAAATAAAAAAATGAAAGTGCTAAGGAAGAACTGCTTTGAATGAAGTAATTATTTATTTCTCAAACTCTTAGCTGCCTTAGATTCCTGCCAAGTATTTGTTTGCAGGTGTTTCGGATTCAAATGCAAGCCCCGGGTTACCCATGGAATGTTCCTGCTCTATAAATAGAAGCTGTGATAAGCAAGAATGCCACCAGTGGGTACCGGCAAGATGAGAAGTGATTTCAGAGCAGACTCTATTTGATGGGTGATTTGTTGGTTTTCTGGCAGTTTATAAGAAAGTTCCTTAGCAAAGGCTGCTGAACAAGCTGATGTGTTTAGACATAGGGAGCAAGAGTCTTTACCTCGTCTGAGACGTCATCAAGCCAGAGTATTTTTAAGACCCATGGAAGTTTGACGAGTTCAAAATCCCTGAATTTAAAACTTTCCTAGGGTTTCACCTTTCTTAATTGATTGCAAATACAGGTTGATTTGAAAAATGACAGAGAGGAAAGTTAAGGACCTTCCTAATAGATCAGAGGATTCCCAGCCATGACCAGATGTGCAAAATTCAAATTCCTTGACTGGACCTCAGGAGTCTGGGCGGAAGGGGAAAGTTTAGCTCGAGGCTGAATTTAGGAAGATAAAAAAAAAGCAGACGATAATGCAAAACGAAGCTGAAATGGCTCGGTTAAATCCGAGAGCAGTGTAACAACAGGATTCACAACATTTGACAGCCTTGGGAAAGTTGAAGGTCATTCATTACTGCTGCTCTTGGTTGAGACATCAGCACGGATCTGGGGTGCCCCTTAGAGATCTGTGTTAGTTCAGACAGATAAGTGATGCCATAGAGGAAGTGAAAGGCTTATGTGTGAGCTGAACATTATGCAGATGCGTTATCTGCAGCGCCCTCCATTTGCCTTGTCTTTGATGGCCTAAACCACCAAATACAGAGAGTTTTTGGGTGGATTTGAACAAATCTCCATGCCATTCAGAACTGCTGAAATAAACATCCAAACTGAATTTACCTGGGCAAACCACAGAGGGAAGTGTAATAGGTTGTAATGTGGCTTTTCTCTGAGCTGCCTTTGCAGTAGGCTCAAGCCAGGACAGTCTGTGTTTCATCTTTCTCCTATGGAGAAGAGTTAAAAAATAAAAAAAAGATGGACTAGGTTACTTTTGAAAAGGAAATCAAAAGCTTTCCACCTCCCCACCCCAAAATGTCCTTACACCTCGCTCACTTCCCCAGCAATTCTGGCCTCACGGCCTTGGAGGAATTACCAGCAGCTGCTGAAAAACAAACTACGGCCCAAAAAGACTGTTGAGGCAGCTGATTTCCTCCGTCGTGCCCTTCCTCCGAGCGCTGACATCTCGAGCCTTCAGGACCGAAGTTCCTCAGACTTCCAGAAAATTGCTTGCCCTTCTTGGTCTACCCCCTGCCCTTTCATTTGCTCAGACTTCTCCTATTTTTGGCCTTTCTACCTCCTCAGCTTTCCTTTAAGTACCCTTGAACCCTCTTAACCAGAAGAACGCTGAAGAACAAGGGATGAGCTGGTTTCTCCACCAAGACCGTGTGTGTGCAGGCTGCTCTAACGTGGGGCTGGACTTCAGCACAATTGTCTGTGCTCACTGAGTCAAAAATCAGATCTCCTGGAGCTTAATCTGGTGTGGGCTGGTGTCCCTTGGATGGAGTCTAAGACCTTCTCCTTGGCTATTTGCATCTCCATCAAACCCAGACCGTGCAGGGGCTAGAGGGGCAAGATGGGGACTGTGACCACTTTTCACCATGGGGCTGCCAGCTCCGTGTGCAGCAGCGTTGGTGTGTGCCAACCTCCCCGGATGGTTTTTGTCACTGTCCCTCTTTTTCAGGTCCCATAAATATGAGGTGTCTCCCCCAGCCCTCCTCCTGGCCCGGAGCGGTGGTCGGAGTGTGGAAAGCATCACCGTGTCCAAACAGAGCGCGCAGGACATGGTGCAGATGATCAGATATGAACTGCTGGACATATTTGTAAGTTAAAAAAAAACACAAAAAAAGTCTTTTTTTCCATTGCAATCGTTTAGCTGATTACAGCGTGGAGCTGCAAAAGATAAATATGTTTGTTTTTTATTTCTATCATGCTGAGTTACATTTGTTTTTAGATTTTTTATGGCTTGGGTCGGACGGTCGGGACAGAAATCCGCTGTTCAGTGTGTGGTCTCGTGGGAGGAGACCCTGGGAGTCCATGCCTGGCTTGTGCTGGTGGTCATAGACCTGCTGCCCTGGTGGCCTCTTGCATGAACCTTTCAGGGAGTTGGTTGTAGCCCTAAAACGTGGAGCAGGGCTGAGCTGGCCTTGCTTCCACCTGCCCTCCTCACCCCCCTTCATCTCAGAGGGCACAGCTTGTGATGGGCAGGCTTGGGCATCTCCAACTTGCACCTGGATCCCACCGCCCACGCTCCTTTTTGAGCTGCTTGCGTCCAACCTGGACCCTGCAGCCTTGCTCAGCCCCTGCAGCCCTTCGTGTAAAGACAGAAAGTCTCGTTTTGTCCTGTTCTTTCCTCCTCGCAAACCCCAACTTCTTGTTCTGACGTCTCGCAGCCAGAGATCACGGTGCAAAATCTGCCCCGCTACTTGCAACTCGGAAAGCCCTTCCTCATCTTGTTCAGCGATGGTGACATTGATCAAGTGGAAGGCGAGGAAATGCTGAAGTTGGCAAAAGGAACACCCCAGCAAGTGTTTGTGGCTTGCTGGTTGAACTTGTGAGTGTGTAAAAAGAAAAAAAAACAACTCTTTTCTTCTTTCTGTTAGCTCACTCTTAGCATTTCAGGGTAGGAAAAAAACAAGTCTGCAATTACTGAAAGCGCTCTCTAGCTGGTAATGGGATTATTCGGTCTAAAAGCATCATGAGTTGGGAGGTCAAATCATTCAGCAATGGTGTGTTCTAGGCAGCTGCAAAATTGCGCGGCAAAGTAAAATTAGTAAATGTTTAATTGATTGCAGAAATAATTTTCGGTAGAGTAAAATGTTCTCAAAGATATTGCACGGTAGCTTGGCCCTGGCTCTGGTGTTACTTGTGTTTTTGTCACATGTAGGAGAAAAAAGTGACACTGCTCAAGTGTTTTATGGTGATTTTTCAACCAGCAATTAGAGGGAAGCACAACTGAGCAGTTGTTGAGTGTTGACTAGGGGAAAGAAAGTTTTTGGAAGGGACAGCCGGAAGCAGCCCCTTAAGGCAAACTTAAAAAATATTTGAGAAACCAAATGAATCCTGGAGCAAAGAAATAGGAAGTGGTAGGAGAGGAGATTTTTTTTTTTTAAATCTTCCCCTCCATAGTCAGTTTTCAATTTTTAGCTTCTGTTTGTTTTGCCCAAGCCCAGGGACACCTCACGCTGTCTTAATCATAACGTGTTTTGAAGCCTCGCCGCGTGGGCTGGAGCTCAGCTAACGGGGAATGTACGCCTTTGCAAAGAGAAGCCGGTTTCTCTGCCGGTAATGCACAAGAAATGAGAGCCCCTGGAACTTCCCCACCTACACATCTGCCTCTGCTCTCCCTTCCTGAGGAGGAAATTGTCAGAGCAAAAGAGCATCGCCACAAAAAAAAAGGGTCAGAATAAGGCTGTTGGCTTGGAAAGAGTAGGTAGTCCTATAAAGAAAACCTCATTCCCATGGTGAGAGCCAGCTCAGACCTCGAGCATTGCTCGCAGCCTGAAAATAGTGCTGGAAGGACTCATTGTCTTCCTGGGATCCGTCTCAATGTCCCCTTTTAGTTCTCTCTGTGTTGTTGTCCTCCCAGCTCCTCGGGCTGTGGGGAAGCACCCAGGGGCTGGACCTCCTGAGCACGATCCCCCACATCAGCTCCTGCCTTTCCATCCCCTGCAGACTTGCTGCAGCCGTGGTTCTGTGCTTCTGTGCTTCTGGGAGGGGATGGCAGCAGCTGGAGCTGGAGGGAGCTGGTGGGTCTCCCTGCAAAGAGGGGCTGACCACAGGGAGCTGCAGGACCTGTCCCGCTCCTGTCTCACCCCTTCTTAAAACTTACTTACAGTAGAGAACATTTCCCACCCTCCTGCAGAGTTTACCCCATCTCCTCATCCTCCTTGAGGATTTCTTTAGACGTCTAATCTGCCCTCTGTTCCCTCTTGGTGGGACCCTAATGACTTGCTTAAGGGCATTGAGCTTGTAAATAATAATAATAATGAGCTTCTACAGCTGTCCCAAAGGCAGGGCTGTGTGCTTTGCTGGATGCAGCCCAAGGGCTCTGGTGCTTGCCTGGCTCTCAGTCCTGCTGTGCTGCCAAACCTCTGGTGAGCAAGTTGAAATCTCCTCTTGCCCGCAGGAAAAAGACTCCGGTGGGACACGGGGTCCTGAAGACATACTTTGCCACCACGCCCTTGCTGCCTGTCCTTGTCTGGGTGAACCTTCATGCCGGGGGTCAGATATTCAAGTTCCCATCGGAGCAGCCCATCACTGAAACGAACGTCTTGTCTTGGCTGGAGAAGTTAAAAGCGGGGCTGGAGATTCCTAGCAGTAAGTGGACACACGTTTGTAGCGTTCCTAAGTGCTCACTGTTAGCTCGAGTCTGTTTATGAGAAGATGCTACGTGCAATAAATTGTCTGCCCTGGAATTTAATGATGGAAAAACTCCCGAGGCTAGTTTGAGCTGGAGAAGTACAAATAGTCCGGCCAGAAGAGAATACCCACACTCACGAGTTTGCTTTGGGACTGTTTAACATTCAGAGCCAAGTGCAAATAGTTCTGAATCGACATCTCTTCCCTGCGATAATCCCCAAACCTGGCTGT